TCCAGACCCCTCATAGCCCCCCTTCCAGTACTCCGGCATATCTGATAATCCGGCACCCCCTGGGTCCTAAAGGTGCCGGATTATCAGAAGTTTACTATCATTTGTTTACTTCTTCATTGTATCCCTTGTGTTATATAATGGTCATGCCAATTCACTTTCAGAATATGATCTGAAGAAGTGGGGATGCCCCATGAAAGCTCATCACCTAATAAACCATCTTGTGAGTCTTTAAAGTGCAACATGAATGCTTTTTTTTGTTTTCTTATAACAGGTATGAATAAAGACATTGGCTGGATGGCCCACTATATTCCACATCCTAATGATATAAAAGTGCAAACAATAGGTACTTAAGAACTATTAGCACCTTCTCTATCAGCTTCACAAAGCATGGACAATAATTTACTATTTCTTCCCCTTTTTTCTCCTTCTCCCCCCCATCCTCTATTTATTTAGAAACTGGATCTTTAATAATTCCATTCATCTGAAGAAGTGGGTTGTGCCCATCAAAGCTCATACCACCATCTACATGTTTTGATAGTCTCTAAAGTGCTGCAAGACTATTTACTTTCTTCATTGTATTCCTTTGTTATATATGGTTATGCCAATTCACTTTCGGAATATGATCTGAAGAAGTAGGTCTGCCCCATGAAAGCTCATCACCTAATAAACTATCTTGTTAGTTTTTAAAGTGCTACATATTTTTCCTTTTGTTTTACCAAGATCAGACTAACACAGCTACCTCTCTATTACTTTGCAAGACTATTTGTTGTTTTTCAAGCTTTTCTAGTTATAGACTAACCCGCTGAAGCTTTAGTATCTGTGGTTCCCAGTTCCCTATCTGCAATGGAAATTAATACAACTTCCCTCCCTCAAATGTAGTGAGTGGGGTAAACACATGTAATGTAACTGGGGCCATATAAGCATTTGTAGGATAAATATAAAATTAAAGAATTAAAGTTAGCCTAAATTTGGTTAATAACATTTTTTCCTTACAGTTTATGGCCAGGCAGGAAAAGGCCTCAATCAGTCAGTAAAATATGGCAGTGAGAACAGTAAGCATTATTTGTGCAGAAGTATGGGAAAGATGATGTATGGTTCCCAAAGTATCTGATAAAGTAAAGGAGATGTATAGAGTAAACACTCTCTAGTCCTGCAACATCTGTGGTTCAGCACAATTTTAGTTAGCTAGATGTTCACTTATCAAGGGTGTGGCCAAGTTTCACTTGGACCATAAAGTTTGTTTATAGCCACCTGTCCTTGCTTTCAGTGTTCTGTGCTGATAATTTAGCTCTAATTTAACCCTAAATGTCTTCTAAGGGTCCAGGAAACAGTGGAAGTGTTGGCAATGCTGCTAGACAATATTAAGCTCCAGTGGTTCAGCAAATTCTCTGGTGTAGTACTGGTGTGGTCCCAAAGATGCCATACTAGAGAGATTCAACATGTAGTAAAAAATGGTCTTAAAAGAAACAAGCGCACACCTTGACGCTGTTCTGCTTGTATGCAAGGATGGAGGAGAGAAGATAAAGGACAGGCCTTGGGAAGAAACAAGACCTCAAGCAGTCAGTCTTAATGAGATTAAGACTGGAAATAAGGCTCAATTGTGTCAAATTAGCTTTTAGCTCATGTCACTAATTGGCATGACATCACTTGTTTATTAAAAAGAGTATAAAAAGTAAACACTTAAAGAGGTTCATTGCCAATACTTGCCTGACCACGTAAGACCAATATAGATCTAAGCCCCCCAGGGTTTTACCCATTTGTAAGTATCTTGATCAAATGCTTA